CTCATCCTGTGTTCTTTATCATACAGTAACTCACTGGATCCTCACACATGCTCATCCTGTGTTCTTTATCATACAGTAACTCACTGGATCCTCACGCATGCTTATCCTGTGTTCTCTATCATACAATAACTCACTGGGTCCTCACTAGTCCTCCACAAGGCGTACTTAATAACATCCTTCTCTTCCTGATGAGCTGAGAAGACTCAGGGCCTGGGATATGGTTCAGTCAATAAAACACCTGTCACATAAGTAGGGATGAGGAGCCTAATATCATGCCCAGACACATGTAAAAAAGCCAGACAAGGAGACCTGCCCTTGAGATTCCAGTGCATGGACAGCAAGATCCCTGCACAGGCTGACGAGGGAGTATAGTCTCCTTGGTGAGTTCCAGTCCAGTGTGACCCAAATGCCAAGGTGGGCAGCACTTGAGGAAAATAGCGATCTCTGTTTTTTGCACATACACAAACACATGTGTACACACACACACACACACACACACACACACACACACACACACACACACACACGACAGAAGGGAGAGTCAGGAGGATATGCAAGCTGAAGCCAATGGCTCAGGGACGCTCAGCTAAGGAGTGATGGGGTTGGGATTCCCATGGACTCTGAAGCCAGTGCTCAGGTCCATGGAGCAGCCCATCTTTCCTGTCTCATCATCATGTGGTCAATGGGACTCCGGGGGGCGGTGTCACAGCCAAAGAGGCACAGAGGGACTTTCTGATGCTAGGGAACGGATGAGGTCATGTGTGGACTCAGGATGGAGCTTTGTATGGGTGCAGGGATGTGGGAGGCAAACCTCAGAAGGTTGGGAAGGAAAGGAGAAGGGACCCAGGAGGGAGGCAGCTGTGGCTGCTGTGGCCTCCAGGACTGTCACACAGCACACAGGTGGCTAGGTACTTTCTCCCATTTGGCAGATCTGTCACTGAATGAGGGGACCTCAGGTGGGGCTATATACATCTTCAATGTGCTGATCCCTCAAAGAGTCCTAATGGCCATCTTCCCAACATGGGGGTATGCTGTTCTTCTTCTGAGAGGCTCGCTTGCCAGTCATGGTGTCCACCCTCAGAGCTCATTTACATCCCTTTCCAAGTAGGAATGTGGGATCCTGACATGAGTGTGTGTTCTTTGTTTCAGGTGGAGGTTGATGTACTGTATCAGCAGGTTAGCTCTTTTCTTTGTTTTTATTCTGATGTAAGGTTCATAAACATTCCCTTCAAAGTAGGAATGTGAGCTCCTGACATGAGTGTGTGTTCTCTGTTTCAGGTGGAGGTTGATGTACTGTATCAGCAGGTTAGCTCTTTTCTTTGTTTTTATTCTGATATAGGGCTCAAAAACATTCCCTTCAAAGTAGGAATGTGGGATCCTGACATGATTGTGTGTTTTCTGTTTCAGGAGGAGGAAGATGTGCCATATCAGCAGGTTAGCCCCCCTTTTTTTATTTTGATGTAGGGCTCATAAACATTCCCTTCAAAGTAGGAATGTGGGATCCTGACATGAGTGTGTGTTTTTTTGTTTCAGGAGGAGGAGGATGTACCATATCAGCAGGTTAGCTTTTTTTCTTTGTTTTTTATTTTGCCTGGGCTGCTGCTGTGTAGTTCTAGGTGGCCTGGAGCTCACCATCCCCCTGCCTTAGTGCTGGGGTGACCGCAGTGTAGACCTGATGGGACCTGTCTTCCCTCCATCCTCAGGTGGATGAGAACTGGACTTGTGTCCTCCTGTGAGCACAGCAGCACCTTCCCAGAAGGCTCCGGAGTCGGGGGATGTGTTCCTCTGCTGCAGGCCTTGACCAGAGAGGGAGAGTCCAACCTGGGATCAGACTTCCATCCTGTCCCATCACAGACAGTCTTCCTCATGGCTGCTTCATCTGTGTTATCCTCTGACAGCGTTCTCTGGGAGACAAGAGATTTAGAAGGGGAGGGAAGAACTCCAGCTTGACTTCTGTCTGTGCACCTTTAGGGAGGTTCTGTTCAATTTCTGATCAACAGCAATAAACCACAGCTGATGCCATGAGGGTGTGTGAGAACTCTGAGGGATGGAGCCATAGAGGTTTAGGGGTGTGTGTGTGTGTGTGTGTGTGTGTGTGTGTGTGTGTGTGTGTGTGTGTTTCAACTAGATGCATGTATTGAGCACATACCATATGCTCCATGTGGGTCCAGGCACTGAACACTGAGCAGTGAACAGAGCAGAAACAGTCCACTACAGCTATGATGCCGATCCTTCCAGGCCTCTTACATTACATAAATCTGAGACAGGAATCCTTGATTCCTTCTGTCCATGTCCCCAAGACAAGATTCTAGACCTGCCCCATGTGACTCAGAAGCTGTTCTGCAGCTGCACATGGCCAAGGGGATCTGGGAATGTGAGCAGTGCTTGTGAAGATGCACCGTGGCTAAAACATGCAGGCTAGGGTTCGAGGAAGTGATGGAAAAAGAAGTGCATGGAATTTGTGATTCTGGTGGTCACAAAAACAGAAACATGGTCATTTGTGGTGATGACGAGTTTTGGATGCACTGAGTTAAATCACAATGAGTGTCCACTTCCTTATTCTCTTACTGAGAGAAGATCACATTATGTGGCATAGGCATAGGCTGGCCTGGAACTCACAGGCATCCTCCTGCCTCAGTCTCCTGAGTTCTAGAATCTCACACACACACATACATAGACACAACACACACCACCACCAGCACCACCAGCACCACCAGCACCACCAGCACCAGCACCACCAGCACCACCACCACCACCCACACAGAGACCTAATGGTTCTAATAGCTCATTTGTGAGCACCAAAGACTCACATGTACACTCAACTCTTGTACTCTGCTTATTTAAGAGATTATTCAAAACATTGCACAGGTCCACCTGCTACCAAAGCATATTCATGTCCCCAGTGACCAGTCCCTTAATAACTCCGTGTGTGTGTGTGTGTGTGTGTGTGTGTGTGTGTGCGCGCGCGTGGGCGTTCAGCCCTTATTCATTCAGTTCTCACTCTAGTGACCCTGACAACAAGGAGCCCCAATGTCCTGGGGCACGAGAAGACACATGTCCCCTAGACCTCAGAACACACCACGCTGTGCCCTGTGCTCTATCTGAGCCCTTGCTGGACCACATGATGCTGGTCTATGACTCCAGTCTTGACTCTTCTGAAACACCCCCAGATACACAGAGAAGGTTTCAACAAATAATGGCCAGAGGGGCCTCCATGTCTCCTGCCAAGCTGAGGAGATCCACCATGTGAGCCCTCATGTACCCCACACTAAAGCAAGTCTACATGTGACATGTAATGGCCACATCCCATGTCTCCATGAGGGAATGACCCCCTGTGTGGACCTCTGAGAGCCTTCCCAATGATAAAGACCATGGAGGTTGACAGCAGGCCACAGGATGAGTGATGAGCAGTCCTAGGGAGGAGCCACAAGGTGGCAGGATCAGGTTTCCATGACAACAGGGTGACTGAAGATCATCTCTCAGATGGAGAAAGATGTCCACAGTAGACACTTGCACACCACTGTGTCTGACTGCCATGTTGTGAATCCTCATGCTTGCTCCAGACTGGACCTGCCCAAAAGCCCTTTGTCCCTAAACATAGTGCTCATCCTTGCTCTTCCTGTGGGCGCCATGTTGGTTCTGACTTACCATCCATCCTGGGCAGAGAAGTTTGGGGTTTGATGACCGACACTTTGTGTTTCCAAACCCAGTCTTCAACTTTGACCTCCTGCCCAAGGTCAGGCGCCTCCTCCTCTCCAGCATCCACCCACTGAGTGAGTAGTACATGCCAACTGAGGGGAAGCATTGCTCTGTCCACCATATTACCACAGAGTTTGGTTCCCCAGGAAGCCACTTCATCTACACTCAATGGGTTCATCTCTGAAACTCAATCCAGGTCAGTAACTGGGGGACAGACCTGCTGTGACAGCCGTGGCTCTCACCTTCTGGACATCCCTGTGGTTTCTTCAAATGGCCCACAATGGCTCCTCTTCATGGCCAACTTCACCAGCCTTAGACCCTCTCTGGAAACAGCTTGGACGTGTCTGTGGGGGCATTTCCAGAAATGTCTGCTCACTGCTTCCTTCACTGAGCAGCATTCCATAGCCTGCTGTGAGCTTAACCCCTCATCTGTAGAGTTTTGTATGGAGTCACATGAGCTAAATGATGTTTGAGAGGATCAAGTATCACAATGGTTAACTGGCTTCTGACCAGGTTACCAAGAACACATCATGTGGGAAGAAGGGCCCCTCTGCAGAGGGAACTGGGAAAGCCGGATCTCCACTGACAGGAATCAATCCCACCCTCACCTTGGGCCATGTACAAAGGCCATCCAAAATGGAAACAGAGAATCCCCAGGAAACAGAGAACAGCTTAGCCTTGGTGACCTTGGCTGTTTTCCTGGCTTTGCCATCCAAACCACAGGCAGCTCAGGAGGATTCTTTTATGTCAGGCCTCATGCATGCTGGGTAAGCACTCTGCCACTGAGCCACACCCACTGCCTCTCACTGGAACTCTCCAGAAAGTCCTTCCCTGCTGAGCCCCACCCCTGCTGCCTCTCTGCTCTCAAAGGTCCACCCAAGGGGGTCATTCCATCATGGAGGAATGGGATGCGGCCATGACATAACACACTTGGACTTACATTGGTGTGGGGTAACATGACGTGTTGGGTCCACAAGATGGCAGGAGACATGGGGGACCCCTGGGCATTGTTATTAAAATGGTCTCTGTGTATCTGAGGGTTTTTCAGAAGGTACAAGCCTGGAATCTTAGACCAGCATCATTGTGTCTGGGGTTAGAGAGAACACAGGGCTGAGTATGATTTATTTTGTGGTTGAGAGGACATGGATGTTCTCACACCCTAGGACACTGGGGCTCCTGGTTCTCAGAGCCACTAGAGTGAGAACTGAGTGAATGAGGGCCAGGGAGACCCCCCTCCCCCACCACAGTGATTAAAGAGTGGCTTTGGGGACAGGAACTGGTGGGTCTGAGCAATGCCCTGCCCCTTTAGTGATCATGGGATTTGTGTATTTATGTATTCACCACAGTGAACTATGAAACCATTAGGGCTCAATGTGAAGGGTGTTGTGTGTGTGTGTGTGTGTGTGTGTGTGTGTATGTGTGTGTGTGTATAATCCCAGAACTTGGGTGACTGAGGCAGTCAGTTTTCTGTGAATTCCAGGCCAGAGTTGGATACACAATGAGATCCTGTTTCAGAAAGAATGAAAGAGTAAGAAAGAAAGAAAAAACTAGTTTTAAGTTTAACTCAGTGAATTTTGATTAAATTCCACTGCTTCAGATCTCATCTTTCCTCAGACCGCTAAGTTTAAAGTCACTACTGTCACAGATTCCAGGCAGTTTTAGTGTCCTGCACTGCACCTCCCCTGACTCCGGAGCCTTCTGGGCAGGAGCTGCTGCTCTCACAGGAGGATGCAATCCTTGTCCTCCTGAGGATGGAGAGAAGACGGGGCACATCAGGCCTACCCAGCTGTCATCCCAGCACTAAGGCAGGAGGATGGCCAAGGTGAGCCCCCCTCAGCCTGAGTTGACCGGATGGAGAGGGAGAGGACCCTCAGGAGCCAGGCTGCAGCCCTGAGTGGGGATGGGTTATCTACCTTTCTGTGTCCCTGTGTTCTCATGGGCACCCAGCTGTGGCACAGGGTAGAGAACAGAACAGCGCCCCCACCTGCTGGGTGACTGGACTGATGGAACCTCACTGTCCAGGTTTCCCATCTGTGAAATGGAACAACATGACAACAGTACCTCACCCCCAGTCACTGTGACGGCCGCTGAAATGTCAGTTTGTAACGCCAGCTCCACTCTGTGGGGTGTGCAGTGTGTTAGTGAGTGTGTGCAGCATTTATTTAGGGAGGATCTCCTTAGTATTATTATTTTCTCATTATTTTCTCTTTGTGAATTCGATTCTCTTAATTTTAAATTTCACTCTGTGATTATTTTAAGTACTGTTACAGGCATCTTGACACAAGCATGTTGTATTTTTAGTGTATTCCCCTTAACAACCTACTAACCCCGGGGATCATGACAACAGTTTCATAAGTCTGTCTTCATTTTCTCACAGTCTCCTTGCCTCTGTTTCGTGTCCTTTACCCCCAAGCAGAGCGTTTCCCAGAGCATCTCCCTCTGATTTCATGGCTCTTGTGTCCACTAGATCCAGATTCCACATGAAAGAAAAACGTTCGTCTTTCCCAAACACCCTCCCCAGTGTCTCACTTCCTCTAGGCCCCTCCTCCACCTCCCTCACATTGTCTCACTTCTATCACACACACACACACACACACACACACACACACACACACACACTCACATATTTAAATCTAGACCCCACAGATAAACGCTGATGCTCATCGTTCTGAGCCTGGCTTTCTTCTTGTACCACCAGGAGATCCAGAACCATCTATTTTCCTACATGGATCCTGATTTCACTCTTCAGGGCTGACTAGTATTCCACTGCACATGTGCCGGCTTTCTCTATCCATCCATCTCCGTGGGTGGTGGCCCCCTAGGCTGCTGAGGGTCTGGACTGCCGGGCAAGGCACTGCCTGTCACTTATCATTCTCATCACTGTCTTTCAGGGAGATCCTCGGGCAAAGCCACAGGACTCCAGGGCAGATCAGATGCTGACCTGGTGGTGTTCTTTACCAATCTCTCCAGCTTTGAGGATCAGTTAAATGGACGGGGAGAGTTCATCCAGGAAATGAAGAAACAGCTGCGCTAATCACACTTAGAAAAATTACAGCAAGAGAAACAATTACCAATGAAGTTTGAGGTCCAGAGTTCACCGTGGCCCAACCCCCGGGTACTCAGCTTCAAACTGAGCTCCCCACAGCTCCAGCAGGAGGTGGAGTTTGATATGCTGCTGGCCTATGATGTCCTAGGTAAGCCAGTCAGAGCCTCAGCCAGCTCTTCCGAGTGCCTTCATCCTCTCTTCTAATTCTCTCCCCCCCCCCCCC